GTTATAATTAGTTTTTTAAAAATTTTTGTTAAAAATACTATTATAAAAAAAGTAATATAAAATTATTTTATATATTATACTTAATTATACAAATTAATTAGTTAATTATATATTAGTAATCAATTATTATAAAACACACTTATAGTAGTTTTTCATCTATACAAATTCGTGTAGCCATATGATCGTATGCATGATGCATATCACTTTTACCAATTTCAGATAACAATTGCTACACATACATATATAATTATGATCGATAAAGATCATATGCATAACGCGACAAAAATTTTTACCAACTTTCGCTAACAATAGTTTTGTGTAACTGTATAATCGATATAGACGACTTCCCTAACTTTTACCAACTTTCGCTACTTTCACACACTTTCATTCGTTTACTAACTTTAGCTACTTTCACACACTTTCATTCATGCTAATTCCTATTACACACTAATTTTCACTAGCTTTCACTCACATTTGTTTACTTTTGTTTTACTTACTTTTGTTCACTTTTACTCATACTAACTTTTACTCACTTTCGCTCATTTTTACTCACTTTTACTCACACTAACTTCCTTCACTTTCACTCACTTTTGCTACTTCTTACTACACACCTAACAATTCATTTATAATTTACTCACTGGATTTGAATTCACTTCGCACTACTATATAATTATATAACATTGCTCTTATAAACTAGCATATTCATTGGTGATAACGAATAGAATCTAGTTAGACAGCATATTAAAAATGGCAAGCGAAGATGAATTTGATGTTGCAGATCTATGTTTTGCAAGCAATGTCGAAACAGATATATTTAATAAATTTCTTTTTAATGAAACTGAGGAAAAAGCTAATGATTTAACAAAAAATGAATCTGAAACTAAAGAATTTACAGATTTAGAGAAAGGTTTATACCCTTTAACAAAAGGTCAAATTTTTATAAATTGGAAAGACGTTGAAAGGTATAATTTTTTTTTTTTGTTTATATAAACCTGTTCAAGTATTAATTAGTAATAGTTATCTTGATAAACATGGCCATGAACGAGGATTTGCATTTTTATTAGCGAAAAGTGAACTGGATAAAAATAATGGAATTCCAAGACATCACGTTTATTACTGCTCAAAAGGGCACTGCTATGAAATAAGAAAAAAAGCATATACATTAGAAGAAAGAAACAAAGCACATGAAAGTAATGGATATGAATTTCATATTAATTTTCATAGATGGAAGAGTAATAATCAAATACACCTCTCAGGTATAATTGGTGAACATTCACATCCAATGAGTGAAAACATACAGATAGTTGCACCTTAGTATTGTCGTCTTACACAAGAGATGTGAGATAACATTGAACTTCTTGCTGCTAGCGGTATACGTACTGGGGCCATTATTAACGTATTAACGCACAAGTATCCAGATCAGTATATACATGCATGTAGTGTTTATAATATTGTTCAAACCATTAAAGCAGAAAAAGAAAAATTAAGCGATGCAGGAGCAACTTACAAAGAACTAATATATCGAAAACAAGAAATGCCTGATTGGTATGTTGATGCGAAATTTGAAGGAAGTGACAATCATCTTGTGGGACTTATATGGCTACATCCTAAGCAAATCAATCTTTGGAGTCATTTTCACGATGTTGTTTTACTTGATATGACCTGTAAAACAAATCGATTTAATATGATAATGTGCGTTGTAGTTTGCGTAGATAATCATAATAGGTCCCACCTTGTTGCAACAGCCTTAATTGTTGATGAGCAAAAAACAACATTTGAATAGATCTTGCAGGGATTGCTTGATGCAACTGGTTGTTAATTTATTTATTAGTTTAGTATATCTGTTTTGGTTTATTTTACTTATTAATTATTATTATTATTATTATTATTTTTTTTTGTAGAAGGATTAGCACCTAAAGTCATTTATACAGATGCGAATCCAGCTCTTATTAGTGCAATAGAAAGTGTATGGCATAGCACAAAACATCACTTCTGCTTATTTCATATAAAAAAAAATCTTGAAAAGCACTTTCTTTCCAAGTTTGGTAAAGACAAATTTAAAGATTTTTTTGCATGTTTTTGTCATGCACGAAACAGCACTATGGAGATTATTTTTGAATGAAACTGGCAAAAGGTCTTGGATTTGTATCCTGAAGCATAGTCTTATTTAAGACGTCAGCTTTATTCTCATTGTGAAGCATAGGTACTTGCATTCACACACAGGTTTTTTAATTGTGGCATACAATCAACTCAAAGAGTTGAAGTTTATAATGCAATTCTCAAAAAATCATTAAATGGAACAACAACATTGATGGAAGTGGTAAGCATTATTGAACAGAATCTAATCAGAGAATTACAGTTTGTGAGATTCAATGAAACTAGCGGAGAGCTATACGTATTGCACTTGCATCATATTGCGACCACTATTTTACAGCAATTGATAAAATTTGCACAAGGTTTCTTACACCAGCAATACAAAGACTACAATGCTATCAAATAGATCAATGCCCTCATTATAGAGCTTATTATACAAATCTTGAGGCTGAATTACGATGAGCTACTAATGCCATAGTATATTTAATACAGTTACAAGTTTTTATTTTTAGGCTATTAGTGGGTCAAACAATTTAGTTTTAGTTTGAAACAAATTAAGTGATTATGATTTATTTAGCAAATGAGTTGCTCATTAGATATATTCGTTTTGTTATTTATTTATTTATCTATTTATTTATTTATTTGTTTGTTTATTTATTTATTTTAATTTTTTTATTTATTTATTTTTATAGAATACATCAGAGGGCATGTTTAGCGAAGATTTATATGATGAGATACTGGTTGAATTAACTGAACTTGTTAGTGACATTAGCCCTGATGATATCAAAGAGCTTAGAGTGGTATCACGTATAGACCAACAAAAATTCCATTTTGTTATTTTATTCAGTAATGCAGGTCATTTATGTATCTGTCTAATACTTATGAATCGTGGCATTATTTGTTGTCATTTTTTTGCTGTTTTACTAGAAAGTGAGATAGCATAGTTCCATATTGGAATTCTGGCAAAACGTTGGTTTAGTGACTGGGCAATACAAAAAAATGAAGACCTTAATAGTAAACGTGCTATTTCAATTCGAAAAGGACAAGATTTTGGCACGTTTGAGCATAAGATTCAGCATGACTTTTCCTTGATTGATTCAATACACAGCAAATATGTTTTTATGCCTAAAATACAGAATCATGTGAAGAGTCATTCTCTTTATGGTAAGAGCTTTGGTTTGATGAAAAAAGCCTTAAATTTGGCAATCGAAACTGGATGTACTGGAGAGTTATATAAGTTACATCAGCAGTTTATAGCAAATATGAAGAGACAACTCGCAGAACAAGAAGGAAATATTTTGGAATTAGATGAGAAAAATTATTATGGTTCAATTAGCAACCCACCAAAAGCATGAACTAAAGGTCGAAAACATCAAAAGCGTATAGCAGCATTTAATGATAGTCCACGAAAAAAAGTATTAAAAGAATCAACTAGCATGCAACATAGTGAGAATTTAGTAGAGACGAGTGGGTCAAACGTTAGCAATAAATCAATTGACATAAATAGTGTTGAAAAACAACAAATAAGAATATCAAATGAGGATTTTGAAGAAATATATGAAATGCAAGTTCAAATAACTCAAGAGCAAGATCAAATGCATAATCAAAATTGAGATATACAACAAGGTAAGTTTATTATATTTGTTAATTTTATTTATAAGCATCATTGCTAAAATATAATGTTAGGGACAGGTCTTGATACAGTAACTAGCCATGAAGATATGTTAGAATCAATTACACAAGGTACTACATATTGTTATATATTTTCCTGATACACTATTATTAATGTATGAAAACAATTTCAGGCAAGAAAAAACATGCATATATATGTGGTAATTGTGGTAAAGATGGTCATTGTAGATCTTGTTGTCCTAATATGAAGTAATACAGTATCTATATTTGTATGTATGCATTTCTTTGTGCACATGTATGTACGTACTGCAATTCATTATCAATTATGTTTGTGCCTCAAGTGCTCTGCAAGTGCTGGGTAGGATTATTAAAACATAGTGCCTGAATAATACTTGTACTATGTTAAATAATTCTGTCTGATGCCTGTATAGTTCAAATAACTACAGTATATTCCTGATTATCTGAGTACCTTAAATGATACTAACATGTATGATAGTTATCTAGAAAGCTAGATGTTGATTTGCACTTTCCCGAAACCCACTTTTCTAAAAAACTATTTTCTGACATCACATAGGGTTAAGGTTAGCATTTTGTTAATTATTAGTATATCATTACCTGCATAATGTTGGGTAAGTAATGTATTGGAAAAATAGTTTTTGAGAAATTGTAACTATAAATTTTTGGGCCTGTTTATAAAAAGCAAAAAAGCTATTTTGACCTGGATTAAAGTTATCAAAACTATTGCTACTAATTTTATTTATATAACTGTTACTATAACTTATTGAATAACTTTAACCTGGGTGAAATAAAGTTTGTAGAAAAATAAATAAGTAATGTGTTTCTAATTATGTTGAGTTGCTAAAAGTTAGAGTTAGGATGAGTATTAGAATAGTTTTTTTTTTTTTTTTTTTTTTTTTTTTTTTAGATTATAGGTAAATAATAGTAATTTTTTTTTGTTTTGTAAATAATTAATATTATATATATAATTAAATAGGTGATATTTACACCATAGGTAAAAACCACCTATAGTGAAAATCACCATAGGTGGTTTTATTTATGGTGATTTTCACCATAAGTGCGTTTTAGTAAAAGTCTTTAAATATATATTAAATTTATTTAAAAATTAAATACAGAATCTGAAATTTAAAATATAAAGAACCTAATCTCGAAGCATTGTCTGAGCCTAAGAGCTAGTCATATTTGATTAAATCATCATATAATTATCAGATATAATTAGCCAATAAAAAAGAACTTCTGTCATGCTCAGATTTTTATTATCATGCACTTATTTTGGATCAGATTATTAGCAATTTTAATTAATTCTTTAACTATCCACTTAGATATATAGTTAATTCTATAATGAACATCTTCATAATAAACTCTGGATATAACTAATTAAAAATCTTTAAATTTTACATTAGTTCTGCATAGAAAGAATTATATTTTTTAAGAAAATATAATAATTTTGTATAGCAAACTTCTTTTATATCTATAATCATTAGTTCATTATATAGAGTGTTGACTTTGTATACATATTTCATAAAGCAAACCAATTTTTTTTATGTTGAACCAATAGACAAAAAATTGCTACAGATTTATTTCAATTATTAAATTATGAAACGCATTTACAATATTAAACTTATAAACCAAAAATTGTAGCAGATGATATTTGAATTACAATTTCCAAAAGTATCAAAAATATTGCCACATTTTAGAGAATATAATAACTTAAATATTTGTGTTTTCTGTAAATGTTTGACCTTGTAAAACCTTTGATGCAATATATGGCATGACATTGTAAACATAAAACTTTTCTAAATCACTATAATTTTTGAATATATTTAACTCTAATATATCAAGACAACTAAAGCTTGTATTTATATTATTACTAGTATTGGCAGCAATAGATGAATAAAACAATAGAACAATAAAACAATAGAATAAAGCAATAGAATTTAGAATAAAATAAAATTTTGTCAATAGAACAAAAAATTGCTAACTAGATCAGTATTGTATCTAGACAGTGTTTACATAATATTGTTTAAATATTGTAATATTATAGATATTTTTAAACATTATTTTATATTATTTTATTGATATTATATTAGTTTTATATTAT